GAGATTAACCTATTGAATGAGATTAACCTGGTGAGTGAGATTAACCTGGTGAGTGAGATTAACCTGGTGGGTGAGATTAACCTATTGAATGAGATTAACCTGGTGAGTGAGATTAACCTATTGAATGAGATTAACCTGGTGAGTGAGATTAACCTATTGAATGAGATTAACCTGGTGAGTGAGATTAACCTGGTGGGTGAGATTAACCTGGTGGGTGAGATTAACCTATTGAATGAGATTAACCTGGTGAGTGAGATTAACCTGGTGAGTGACATTGATATACCTTCTCCCTATCAAATGATTGATTTCATGATAGGGACACGTGAGTGAAACATCGGATACATGTGGATGCCTTCAAAACAAAGACAGCAAGCTGCTAACTACTTCAAGTAATAGGTTTGGGAACAATCAAGGTACCAATTATGTATTGGCCGAGTGATTGTAAAAAGTAGCTTTCTTTATTAGATTTGGAATGGGATTGTATTTGTTCATTGTATTTATCATTTGCTTATAATAGACTTCGAAACGGATCAGGCGATGAGTGTATGCGTGCGTGTGTGTGCGTGTGTGTGGGGGCGATCTATCTAACCAACCAAGCAACCAACGTCACAGACCTTTTGAGGAGCAAATGGCGAGCTGTGTGTGTGCACACTCTTGGTTCACCTTTATCTTACCCAGGCGCGCACTTTTGGAGTGTCTGTGCATAATAATCCATACACGTACGTGTGTCTTCCCCCATACTACTTGGACCTCTTTTTACTCATGACTCTATCTATAGCCTCTTGTCATTATCTGCCATGGACCGATTCTTCCCTTCTGCGAATCCTGTATATGGTATTTACTATTCCCAATTCCCCCCAACGCTCCTTCCGTTGGGATACACTCCTTGGTGCTGATGGGCTTCCTTTTTATTCAGATGACGACTCGCAGGTATCCACCACTGGCAGCTCATTGCAAAGTTGGATTAGCTGGTTCTGTTCGCTCTCAGGACACGAGTATTATGCAGAGGTGCCCGAGGACTTTATTCAAGACGACTTCAACTTGACAGGATTGTCTGCCATTGTACCCTACTATGACGAAGCCCTGGAAATGATCCTCGATTTGGAACCAGAAGAGCCCTCAGATGACGATCAGCTTGCAGACCAAGAGGACGAGGAGGAAGAAGAGGAACCGTCAGAAGAGGATGATGGCTTTTGGAAGGAACGACCTATTGCCACCAAACGGCGTAGTGGTGAACGTGCACATCCAAGTGTTGTCGAGCCTTATGCTGCCATGTTGTATGGCTTGATTCATCAACGCTACTTGTTGACACGCAACGGGCTTCGTTTGATGGCTGAACGTTATCTCGCCGAGCAATTTGGTTTCTGTCCTCGTGTTTATTGTGGCAAATGCCCTGTTATTCCTTGCGGTCGTTACGATGAAGCAGGTCGTGAAGGTGTACGTCTCTATTGTCCTCGTTGTATGGACTTATACAATCCTCCAAGCTTGATTTCTCAAAATGTGGATGGTACTGTATGGGAGGGAGATTGGATGGATGGGATCAAGGATTGACGTCTCCCCTTTTTTTCTCTCCTTTAGGTGCCCATTTTGGAACGACGTATGCACATTTATTATTTCAATCCTTTAATGATTTGGTACCAGCACCACGACGCCACATTTACCAACCTCGTATCTTTGGTTTCCGTGTCAATGAAAAGTCGGTCGTTGGTCCAAGGATGCAATGGCTTCGTATGCGACCTCGTGAATGTACTACAGGCGATGATGATGATGATGACGAGTTTGAGGATGATGTTGCGGATCAGGAAGAAGAAGAGGAAGAGGATATTATCAATGTTATTGCAACACAAGACATGAATGCGGTGGGTAAGGACCAAACTTGTATACAATGATCCTTGTATTCTCATACAGCCGGTAGCCGGCCCCATCGCAGGCGGTGGAGCAACGTGAAGATGATCGACTCGCACGATTGACTCATCAAGTCGAAGGTTGGCGTATGCGTGATTCCAGCCTCAACTTTTTCAGGCGGTGGATGTGATCATCTCATGGCTTTGATCCCATCCATTCATTCACATCGATCTCGTCTACTGCTTTCAAGCACTCTACGCTATTTGCATGCTGACATCTGGTGCGCTCATCATTTATAACACACCTCTCTCTCTATTTCTCCCTTATATGGAGCCAACAATCAACTAGGCTCTCTCTCTCTTTCTGCGTATAAAGCTCTCTGTATTTTCTCTTTTGTTTGTACATAATCAAAGAGTGTTTCAAGTTGTCTATAAAGCATTTATGCAAACAGCAGCCTATTCTAAATCATTGGCTGATTTCTCTATTATAACTTTGCACGGGTCTCCAATGCTCTATTAACCAAATGCAAAATCTCGGGCACTAATTTTATGTTTAGCGATCCTGAAAGACATGCCTTAGTACCGTGTTTCTTACCAAGGATATCAGGGTTTTCAAGTGGAACGACGTGTGAGCCTTCAACGAGAGCATTGCTGATCAGCGGGGATAATTCCTTGATATCGTCAGCTGAAGATGGATCGGTACTACAATATACATGTTAGCATGAGGTAGCATTTGATCATGTTGTCAACTTACAAGGTGGATCTGTTTGCATGAACAATATGCACAGGAATCGTAAGACATCTCAAAGAATTGAAGACGGTGGGCGATCCATAGAGACTAGCCCAATAAATAGCCTATGTGTATGTCATCATCCATGATGATGAGCCACTATTGCATTATGGTCATATGGTAATCTTCGTAAGAACTTACATGTTCCACCTCTTTTGGGCATTTCAACTTGACATTGCCATCGGGTGTATCGTAGAGTGCATATTGCTGCAAATCGATGAGAACCCAGTGGGATGGGTGATGTAAGCAGGAACACTTACCACGTAATTTTCGAATACTTCGGGATGCAAATCCCGCCAAAAAGGACGGTCCTTGAGCGACGTATAGCAAGCCTCTCTGATACATGCATACATATACAACGTTAATTCCATGCTGCATTTCAAAACGTGGGGTAAATTGTATCACGCTGCTCATTACCTGCTTGGCCACGTGTCACGACGTTTCAAGGTCAATGACATGGCAGGGAATTGGGACAAGGCTTCATAGGGAAATACGTATGGGCTGACCACCGGTTCAATAAGACAAAGAGCATGAAAGGTTTTGGGGAATAGAAACTCGGCAACCATCCTATAAAGATCATGGAATTTTTAGTCATCGTTTGTGCCTCATGTGCGCTGAGTTTTGGCATGTGAAAAATAAAGGTACCTACATCGAACATGCACCAAAGCTATGACCAACACCTATCACCTTGTCGTAATTCTCATAAAGCTCCATTTCTTTGATCACTTGGATCATATCCATGGCATTATCAAACCATGAATCTAGTGGATGTTAGTGTATGCAATCATCGTGTGTAACCAGGGAGAGAAAAACCTTACATTTTGGATTGAAAGGGTGACCATTGTTTAAGCAAGCAGAATCACCAGAATAGCGAGCATCGAATCCATAAAAATCAAAGGTGATCGATTGGAAAGATGGAAGAGAACGTAGTTGGGTTGCGAAACGTCGCATCAATGGGTGCATCATTTCCTTGCTGAAGCCATTTGCATGTGCCCAAAGAAAAGCGATGCGTTCTTGGCTTGTATTGGATGGTGCGGGGTAGGCATGCTTCTCAACCACAAGTTGTTCGGTATCCCATCCAGGAGTGCTTTGATGAACAGGGATTGTAAATTCTTCTGATGGTATCAAACGTGGCATGTCAGTAGTTGTCCGAGAAAGAAAAAGAGAGGCACAATGACCAAAGGGGAAACGAAAGCTGATTGTCAAGCACAAACTGTGCGGGAATGGAAAAGAGTCTTCCCGCAATAGGAAACTTGTGTTCGGTATTATGACTGGCATTGTGTCCATCTTGATAGCTCAATGTGTCGTTGAATGCATAATCAATCGTGTCATTGTATGGGTTCCAATACCACTCTATGGGCACAATGATGAAAGTAGGAAAACAATCAGCTTTAAAGATCACTACAAACATCTATGTATGAATCGCTCACAAAGAGGATTACCCACCATGATCATCATCAACCGGGGATTTGAAGCTGTCAGCAATCAAAGAGCGATATCATGGAAAAATAAAGAGGTGTGTGGGATCATTTATTCTTGCATACCGGGAATGGCTCTAGTGTGATTACTGGCGGCAATACCTATGCCATCACGAATCACCTGCTGTGCTGGAAAACAGTATTGATGACATCCTGGTAGGGTGTTCCTCAAGTTGCTAGCCGTTGACAAAGAAGATACAGTGAGATTGGTTTGTGTTACAAATGCGTGTCGCATCTCCCAGCCATTGACAACTGCCACTTTACACATGGTAATCATTCATAAACGTGTGTATTAGTCAAGGACGGCGACCGAGTTGCATAGTAGAATGAGGATCAAAAGTAAAGCGTTGGCGGTGCTTGGATATCAAAAACAAGGTTACACACTTCTTGTTCAACTCTTCCTTTGAGTTGCATAGCAACCACGCTTCCATGTAACGACACTATCCCATTCAACCACCAGCAAACACTGAAATGCACAAACAGCAGATGTCCGATGACGATGCGCTCTGGCAACCTCGTCAACAAGGTTCTGACACTACGACTATTCCGGCTCATCAAGTTCCACGATGGCAATCTATTCAAACACCCTCTGAACAACGTGATGCGCAAAACTCAATACGAGCATTAGGTAAGAGATATAGAGCAGCAGCAGCATGATAGGATAGTGCAATTGTTATTAACTTTTTTTTTATCTTAGAGGCCAAGTTGGCACGAGTACAAGCACGTCATGTTCCTCAAGTGCATGTGGATCCCAATGAAGATGATGATGAAGATGATGATATGGACGAATCGAGTGATGGATGCTCTGAAGAACAGGACCAAGAAGGATTACATTTGTTATGGAAGAAGGGTGATCTTGATAATGCATTACGGCATCGCAAAGTAGAAGAACAATACACATGGCACTGGATCCTCGCTTATATACCTCGTTGGTGTTCATGTTGCTTTATCCCGAGAAATACTACGTGATGAATAAACACTATTCTTGATATGATGACTTTTTTGTCGCTGTGCAGAGATCAGGGGTAATAACAGGAAAAGCACAATCTATCCAAAACCGGTTCCCCCATCATCATCAGTCTTTTTTCATTCCATCATGTTCCTCCTAGCAACAACACGCTTACCATCATCAACATTGCAGCTGTAGGTTGTTGCTGATCTTGATCATTGTCTGCCAACATGGATGGAAATCCTCCCGCCGCTGCTGGTGTTGTAGTTGTTGTAGTAGCTGCCCCACTTGTTCCTTGATTCTCCAACATCGATAGTCTTAACTTTAATTCCTCATTCTCTGCCCTCAAAGTCTGATTTTGCTCCTCAAGCGCGTTGAGATGTTCACGTTTTCTTTTACGCGATAATAAAGCGGCTGCCCTATTCTTGATTAATCGTTCTTGTCGTTTGGCCAATGCTGCCGCCGCCTTGTCATCTGGTGATGATGATGTTGTCACAGTAGTAGCGCGTTGCTTGGTATTAACAACCATGTTGCTATGCTGTCGAACAGTAGTAGATGTTTGTGTATCCACCTCCTTTTTTATGCCTGGCACTGTGGCAGAAGGCGTAGTGGGTGTGGATGGGATTGCTGGTGCTGGTGCAATGACGGGAGTACTTGTGACCAACGAAGCTGAAGAATCTCTCTTTTTGCGTCCACGCTTACGTTTGGGTTGCTCACCACTACCAGCACCTGGAGAAGAAACACAAGAAGAATTGGAGGAGGTAGCTGTCGATGCAGGTGAAGGTGGCTGTTGTAGATGATAATGAGGTGAAGCTGGTGTTGTTGTTGTCGTTGGTGTTGTTCCTCCAAATTGCCTTCCAAAGGATTCGAGAAATGATAATACGGATGATGGATGGGATGGTGGTGGAGGTGCTAGTGGTGCTGCTGCTGCTGCTGCCATACCATAATGATAAGGGAATTGATCTGATGACGCGCTTATAGCAGGATAGTATACTTCATGTGCTGATTGTGGCAGATTGGATATGGGAGTAGGAGTAGGAGTAGGAGCCATCATCGCTGAACTGCCACTAACAACACCAGGTGATGTCAATGACCAGCCATCAATGAAGCCAGGAGGTGTACATGGCTGAAGATCAGTTGTTTTGGAGGAAGGACTTGACCAAGGCGAGTTGGTAGATACACAATCAGCATTCAAATAAGACATTAATAATTCATCTTCATGTTGTTGGATTTCTGGTTCAGTCTTGACGCGAGGTGATGAGCACGACATTTGATGTGTGTATATTTTGAAAGAAGAAAGGGACCAAAAGCAAAACAACAACAAGAAAAAGGATGCCCTATTTTGCATGTACATGCGCACAACACACACACGCGCACACATGCATATACAAATACCTGCGGAGTACCTGACGGCGTCAAGGAGGCTCCTTTCATCAACCATAACCCCTATGAATATTACCTTTTCGGAAATAGAGTCCCAAAAGATGCGTATCACACACATATTAGATGACAGGTCTACATAGTAAACACGCGTTTATTTAACCATCGACTTGAAGAAGCATTTGACGATAGGTTTGACATATAGCACGGATGGAGCGGAGACATGCTTTGAGCTCTGTCAACATGGGTGATTGTGTTTGAGTCCGGCATTGATCCATGATCCAGGCGTTTTTATCCTTGTACATGCTAAATAACGTCACATAATAGGTGGATCAAGAATGAGTGACAAGGCAAGTGGCGTTCTTTTGCATAGCTGCAAGGGAGAAGGAGGATACTTACACGCAAGTATGAGTATCGTTGGTTGCTGCAAACTTGTTACGAAAATCAAGGGCAAAGGTGTTGCAAACAATGTAAACATCTTGAACGCAAAATTCGATCACAACGTCTTCTCGCAAGGATGGCGTGAAATACTAAATGTGCGCGTGCCATTTTAATCCTTTGCCATTCATCCATCAACATCCTTTCCCATCATCCTTACACTTACCTTGGGATGGCATACTTTGTAGGGAAACAATTCAGTCTCGTTGGGATACTCGAATGCTAATTCGGCACGATCGACATATTGACATACATCCTCCAACAGCTAAAAATGCAAAACATGGTTTGCCACATATACACACGATTAGCCACTCTGCAGCTTTGTACACTTGACCCCTTAATTTTCCATACAACACAATCCATCCACACCTTGAAGACCCGACGCCATCCTCCTTCTTCTCCTTACCTCGACTGTGGTAACCAGTGCATGATCATGTTGGTCCACCGTTGCCATACGTTCTGCAGCAAGCATCAGATAATTGGCACCTTGTTGAATCTGCTCCAAAAAGTAGGGCATGGCTGAGGTAATGCTGGCCTTTAGCTGCATATCCTGATGGGATCCATTGCTCAATCGAACCGATAACTCCTGAAAGAAAAACAAGGATGCATGGTGAATTGCAAGGTAGACGACGTTGTGTGACACCATTTCCATCATCATTGACGTACGGCTTTTGAAATGTGTGCACCTTGTAAAGTGATGTACCCTTTCAACGACTCATTCCTTGAAACCACCATCATCATCCTTGAGTACGAGGCGATAGGTAGATGACCTTGTCAATGTACTTACTGTGCGGAGGAAAGCGGTAGAGAATCGGCTTTAGCTAAGTTTGGAGGATAGTCTCAGAGACAAAGAAATATTGATCTGCATGTGGCCCATAGAGTGTCGCCACCCACGTTCGGTGCTTACTGTTGTTCTTGGATAAAATGCTCAAGCTATTCTATATGAACATAAACAAGCATAGAAAGATAACGTTTGAGTACTTGACAAAGTTATTCCACCCTTTCCCTTTCCCCAACAAAATGACCTGGAGTTGGCATTGGAGTCGTTCTAGAGCTGATGGTATAATACATTGCAATAGCCATTGTTCTTGAAGCATCTGATGGAAGAAGAACCTGTCAACTTCAATTGTAGGAGAATGGTGCTTGTCATCTCTTTCTTACAGCCGAGTCGTCTCGTCGTGGCATAGTCGTGGTGGTGGTGGTGGTGGTGTGGAGCTGCAGGAAATCAAATGTCGCACATTGTACAGAGCTGAGGTTCATTATTATATGGCCCTACCACCCACGCATAGTCTTCCCCCCACCCA